CCTTGGACCATCACGTCCATCGTGTGGCAGAACCCTGAGCTCTCGGGGATTATAACCCAGGCCAAGCTGGGGCAGGGTAGGGCAGGGGTGCACCTGTCATCAGAGGCGCAAGTGCCTTTCCCATCAAGGTCACTGCCTGGTGTGGCTGCTCACACGACCCCCTACCCAAAACACATACTCACACACACGCACACATGCACGCACACGGCTGTCCTCCACCTGCCTGCCTGGGAAGTGCCAGCATCTGGGAGGTATAGAGATGGGGAACCTCCGTCACAGGCTCACATGCTCAGGAGCTACAGAAGGACCCAGAGAAGTTCCTAGATGTAGATGCTTGTTGTAAATGGAAGTGGGGTGTATGTATGGGCTGGGCGGTCTCCTCAAATGTCTGATTGGTCTACTCCATTCCAGTCTATGTTCTAAAACTTTCTGGTCATTGGCCACCTTCTGAAATCTCCATCGAGGACTCCAGGAGATTACAGATGGGGGACAGCAGCGCTGGGGTGCTCCCCCGCCCCCTGCCACTCTCAGAGAGTTTATCACCACAAAATGAAAACACGTCATGCCCGGGTGGGGGTGGGGGTGGGGGCACTGCCACATGGTTCACCTTACAATATTAAGTCTCTGCTCAGATCCCCTGTTAATAGGATTCCTTTAGCCAGCAGATGGATTGCGAATACAGGCGGTTTCATCTACTAAAAGACAGCATAAATCACCACTGAGAAAAGGGAGACTGCAGGCAGGCTATCACCACACAGCCTTCCCCGTGAAAGACCCGCTTCAGAGCATTAGTGGAATTAATTCATCTTTCATAAGAGCTTGGAGCCGTCCCGTGATCTATGGTAACAACCAATTTCTCACTACGGGCAAGAGAAAAAAAATGCCTCGGCCCTGATCGACTACACAAATCTGCTTTTTAAAAATGGCCTCACATTATCTGGAGTGCTGCTCCCAGAGGCAGCATTTGAAATTCATGCCAAGCCAAAAGCACCCGTAAATCAACAGAGAAAGTTTTGTTAGTTTTATATGCAGCGAGCTATAATTATTTGGAATTGCATTATGCCTCCGTCGTGGTAATTACGTTTAGATTATCCTTAAGTGGTGATAATAAAAGAAAGAGAAATCAGTCTTAAACTAATTCCCTCCCCCTAAACGTGTCTGAGTAAAGCTAAAGGAGCAGCCTGAATACACAGGAGGGCAGGATCGGGCGGCACGGCTCTCCCACACACATCCCGTGGGCGCCCCTGCGTGACCGCGACTGCCAACCTGCCTCCTGGTCAAGACACGCAGAGCACGGTAACAGCGTGGAGCTGTGTACACCTGAACAAGACCACACTACTGACAGGACACTACAAGTGTTTGTGTTTTTTAAAATAAGGTTTTCTTTCTGTTAATTTACCAGGATGAAAAGAAAACTAAGCAACAACTCCCTTCTGGAAACTCGAATGGATTTGTTTGCACAGCCACACGTCGTCAGACCAAACAGATGGGACAGCGAGACAATTTCTAACGTAGCAACATCACACTGTACGGAGTAAGGCCGGGGACCCCAGGAAGGCCAGGTCCCCAGTATGGGGGTCACCCTGTCCCAGCAGCATGCTGCTCACCCACCGAGAGATCGGGGTCCACCCAGCACCATCCCAAACTTTTCCTTCCAGAGATGCATTTTCCCCTCTGCCCGCGGTTATGACAGTGTGGTCACCCCGGAGCCAGGTCTCCTCCCGGGGCAGGGAGGCGGCCCTTCGCTTCTGGCCCCATGGAACCATGCCAGCACTTCAGAGGGGACAGTGCACTGGCTGCAGGCACCAAGGCAGAGGAGCAGTGACCCAGGCCCCCAGAGGGGCATCTGCCCTCTCTGAGGGGTGTGCTGGGAGGTGGGACACCACAGTGGAGGCCTCCAGACCTCACCCCAACACCCTCCCATGCCAACCTCAGCCTGAGCTTCCCAGCCTCCTCACCCCACACCGCCCAGGCCAGTGGAGAGAAGAGAGTCGCAGGGAGCCCCCAAATGTACTGGGGCCTGGGGAGCAAGTCCCTGCAGAGTGCTGGGGATGCCAGGCCTGGAGAAGAGCCTCTGGGCCAGGGGGAGCAGGGACCTCTCAGAAAGAAGCCCCCCATCCGGCGAGATATGGTGGTCAGAGCCGCCAGGGGGCTGGGGGAGGAGCAGGACAGCTCGTGGCTTCCAGCCTGAGGTGCCCAGACAGCAGAGCAGCCACTGGAGGTTTTTCCAGAGGAACCCCGAGGTATCAAGGAAGCCTGACTCCCCATGGGGGCCGATCCACATGGAGGAGCCCTGCCTCAGTCTCCTCCTCCTTCTGCCGGCCCAGAAAGACAGAGTGGTCCTCACAGAAGCCTCTTTTTCAGGGAGCGTCACAGCCGACAGAGCCTGGGAGCTGCCAGTGACCCCAGCTCTGAGGAGGAAGGTGCAGTGAGAGGACATGGAATTGTGGAGTCACCCAAGAGGGACAAGAGACGCCAGGGAGACCGAGTGAGTCCCTGGGGCAATGAGGGCCGCACACTGGGTGTCTGTCGTGAGCTGGGTCACCAGGGTGTGTCCCGGCCCTCAGGGAGCCTGCGTGTGAATGGGAACACCGTCCAGACACAAAGCTGCACTGCTGCGTGGAGAGTGGCCTGGAGAAACACACGCCTCGTGGGAATTAAGCCCAGGCAGCGCCCAGCGGAGGCCTGGTCCCTCGGCACACAGCTCTCAGGAGGAGGACTGGGAAGAGGAGGGGGCTTGTCTCCATGTGCGACATCTGTTGTCCCAGGGCGCCCACGGGAGCAAAGCCCAGAGTGCTCCTCAGCCTGGAGGCCAGGCCCCCGCCCTGTCGCTGCCTTTGCAACAGTTTAGAACTTCCAAGCGGCAACTAGATAGAGGAGGAAGCCGCAAACAAAGATACCACCTCAGATGTCCCTGCCTCCCCACCGTCACACCACGCGGGCCCACGTCCAGTGCCGCCCGCCGACCATCGTGAGACCTCTCAGCCCCGCCCTGGCCGCCCAGCCCCTGCACTGACCTGGGTGTGGCGGCCTCATGGCCACCCCCAGTGTGCATTGCTTCTCTCCAGGTGCATGGCCCCTCGTCCGGCCTGTGGCCCTCACTGCCCTGTGTGTCCTGCTCCTTGCTGAGGGCCCACCACTGTGGCTTCTCTCCTGACTGACCCCTACCAGCCTCCAGTCCACCAGGCACCGCCTCCTCTGGGGCATACCTCAGCCCACCCCCAAGTGGGCATGCGTGCCTCTCCTGGGCTGGGACAGGACCTCAGGATAAGGAGGGAAGAGCCAGAGACGACCTGAGTCTCCAGCCCAGTCACGCATGGCCAGTGGTGCCTCTGACCAAAACAGAGAGCACAGAGAGGCGGGCCTGAGAGGAGCCTGGCAGCTTCTCACCCAGTGGGTGTCAGGTCATTGGGAGGAGAACCAGGACCCTGGACAGCATGTGGTGTGGGACCCTCCCGTGGAGAAGACGCCAGCACATCAGAGCTTCTTCCTTGGCCAGCTCAGGGCTGTCCCCAAACCGACCCAGTGGACCTGGTTAAGGTTGCTCTCCTGCTGTGCAGGTGCCAGTGTCCAGGAACAGGCCAAGACCCCGCCTCAGCTGTAACCGGGCCCTGAAACTGACTTCTTGGCCCTCAGCATCTCCAGGAACCACAGCCCTGTCCTCTTGACGGGACACTGCCACAGGCCAATGTTCAGGGAGGGTCACCAGGATTCACTGACTCGGTGTGCTCGTGGAGGGTCGAGAACAAGCTTCCAGAGCCTTCCGGCCCCGTACACCTCCAACCTCAGGAGAAGCAGGGGACAGCGGAAGGCCAAGGGTAGCCAGGACGGGAGGCCGGCCCCGACACTGCGTCCTTGGCTCGGGGACAATGGATGAGGAAGCCTTGCCCCAGCGTGACAAGCGCACCCATCCTTCATGGAGGCAGCCACAATCCCTTCACTCCAGGCTCGGGTCATAAAGCAAGTTAATAAAGTTGTGGCCTTGCTGGAAATCAGCTCCGAGGGCAGGCGGGGCATCTCCACCGAGCGGCGGTCCTCTAGCAGAGGGCACTCGGCAGAGCAATCCTTCTTGTGGCTGAGCAGACGGCTTCTGTCACCGGGAAGCAGGCCACACAGGCGTATAAACATGACTGTCAGAGGCAGACGTCCAGGTCTGCAAATTCACCACCCGAGTGCTTCAATCACAGCATCACATCCCACCCTGACTAAGAGATGATAAAAGGCGGGGTGACCGACTCGGGATCAACATGTGAATTACACAGGATTAGGAGACTCCAAAAATGCTGGTTATAATGTTTACTAAAGAATACCAGAATCCAAAATTAGGTGTGCAGTGTAATGGTTGCATAAATATAAGTATAAAAAAATGCACTAAAACCCAAAGGAACTATATCAACGTTTTCTGATTAATTCTGTCTGAGCAAGGGGTAATAAATAATCCCCAGAAATTAATATTTCTCTTAATTTCTGAACTCTGTAGGAAGCAGACACTGCTGCTGGGACACAGGGTGGGCAGCTTGAGGCTGGCTCAAGGCTTTATCTGTGAAACAGCCAGAGGGCCCACTCTAGCCCTCTGGGGATGGGAAGACACCCCAGGTGCCACAGCCCCGGCACATCCCACCCGCTGGGGCTGGGGACCATCACTGGCCAGACCGACACCCACACCTGAGTCTGCGGGGAGGCCCACAGCGCACACCAGGCAAAGTGAACTAAGGATTCTTTTCCTACATCTTTTGGGGAAGGTTCCTTTGCCTGAACAGGATGATTAGAAAATGTGCTGATTGATGTTAACGATAAACACACAGATTCCCTTGGTCCTCACCTAAACAACCCAGATGAACCACACAGGCTTTAGAATCTCCCAGAAAGCAGAATACTGGAGCGTGACAGCAGCCAGAGGTGACCCTACCACGAAGCATGAAGATTTCACGTCCTAAATTGCACTTCTGACATGACCCCTCTGAGAAGGCAGTGCGTCAGTGAGAAGGTGCTGTGCGTACCTCAGGGAAGTAGTCCTGCGGAAACTTCTCTTTCTCCAGCATGGGCGTGCTCTCCAACGTGTCCGAGTAGATCTCTTTGCCAGTGACTTTTCTATACTTCTTAGCTGGAAAAGAGTAGAAGGATGATGTGAATAACTCCATCACTCCGCCCCCTCCAACCAGCCAGGTGCCACTGGGTCCCACCAGTGCAGCCCCGTGGGGAGTGAGGGAGGCCCCCTGAGGGAAGACCTGATGAGGGGCGCGGACCCAGGCAGGCCACCTGCTCCTGGGGACGACCGTGGCTCACAAATTCCCATTCCACGACCTGGAATCTGACACTCCACTTCATTATCCCCTAAGAGCTTCCAGCCTGCAGATTTACAGGGGCTAATTGGCATCCTCTGTTAAAACCGTGAATATATTTAAGAGGGCTGTAGAATTACCGTTCACTCATACCCTAATATGAATTTATTTAATAACATCGATTTCCTCCTCACATCCAGCCGACATCACTCATGTCCAGGGAAGAGGAGTTTTTATGTGAGACGGAGAGAGCAAGTACTCTGGACTTGTGCTCCCCAGCTGCCCGCCCCTCACCTCGCTGGACGTGGCTCCGTGGCTCCAGTGCCCGCGCTGGAGTCACCTCCCCATCACTGGGCTCACACCCCTGCAGACACGGCTTGGTCTAGTCCTCTTCTACACCCAGGCCTGGGATTGTTCTTTCCCCCACGCCACAGTGTGGTTTATTGAACCAACGCATAAATCTATTCCTCAAACGCTTGGGGGCCCAGGTGGGTGGAGGTTGCCTGCCTCCTCACAGGATGCCACGGAGGGAGCTGGGGCAGCACACGAGACTGCCACAGAGAGACCCCAGCCCAGATGGCTGATGGACCCGTTCCCACCGCTGCCAGCCCTACATCACATGTTCCCTCGCTCCCAGGCCAGGAGTGCCTGATACCAGGGTGAAGTTCCTGGGATGTTAGGAAGTTCTCGGGGACTGGCTTTGGAACAAATGACGAGTGGTGCTGTGAGTTTCTGTGGGGGTCATGCTCCCCGCCCCACGAGCAGCCCACACCTGCGGTTTCTGGAGCCCCATCCACCCCATGGCCCCACCACCTCAGGCAGCGCAGGAATGAGACAGGAAGACAGCATCGCGGGCACAGGCCCCTCCCACCATTCACTAGGTGGAGAGCGACTCCCAGGCAAAAGCAAAGTGCAAGAGGGTGAGGACTTGGAGGAGATGAGCCTGGAGCCTGGGTGTGGTCTGGGCTGGGCCGGCAGGACACAGGACAGGACGTTTCAGTGATTTGGATACACAGAACAGGGCACATGAAATGGATCTTTGCGTTCACTGGACCCTCTGCTCCCCGGATCTTGCTCCTGAACCATGGAGATGAGTCCCTGAGACGACTGAGGTGTGTCTGTTTCTGAGGCTGGTCCCCGAGACCCCCTTACCAACCACTGTAGCTTCCCACGGCCCAGTGGGGGAAGGCAGCGGCCGCCCCCAGGGCAGGTAGGCCCAGGCTTGTGTAAATAAACACGCTACCGTTATGCCACCGGGATCCCATTCAAAACACCCATTTGCGACTAGAAATGGCACAGAAGTGCGTTTAATCACAGGAAGCACTTACTGTAACCACCCATCCATCTCCGCAGAAGGACAGCATTTATCAAACATCACCCCGCACAGCTGCCATCACACTGGGGAGGTCAAAGAGAGAGCGCCATCTGGGAAGGCCGTCGGCACACCTGCTCGTCACAGGCACGTCATGGCCACGCTCTCCTTCACGAGGCAGACGGACAACCCGATACAAGAGGGGAGCTCAGCACTCCTGGGGGGCCGGCCTGCCCTGGCACCACCCAGCCCTTGCTCACCCACCAGCGATGTGGCGATTCTCACGTGTCCCCAGCCTGCAGCATGGGCTCCCTGATCTGCCTCACCCCATTCCTCCACAACCCACCCCAGCATTCCCCAGCTCCCCTCCTTGCCACTAAGTCCCCTGCAAAGGTCCTGCACAAACGTCCCTCTGCAGCGTGACATCTCCCTTCTGGGTTCTTCCTGCACCAGTTGGCACCAGGACATCCACTGAGCACTGTGGGGCCGCGGCCAGGAGTTGAGGACATGGACAGGAGGCACGGCCTCAACCTCCCCGGGGGCACTGAAGACACGGACATGGACCAAAGACACGTGACATGGAGCTGGACACGGATAAGGACACAGAACTCAGTCTGGACCTCTGGGGCCACAGGACTAGGGACGGTCTCATCTTGGGAGAACCTGTGCAGAGCCCCATGGCACAGGGACACTCCCTAAGTGTGGCCACTAGGAGAGGCCTGAGCCAGGTGTTGATGGAGGAGCCTGGACCAGGAGGGAAGGAGGAAGGAGAACGCTGCAGATAGAGGTAAGTGCCACTGCCAGACTGTGGAGGAGAACGAGGGCATGTCATCTCGAGTGACTGCCCAGGAGAAATGAGCACCTCCAGCAAGAAAGGGAAGGAAGCCCCCAGAGCCCCCAAGCAGGGCTGAGCCGATGGTCTGTCTAGAGGAGTAAGGGGCGGACCCAGGCCCCTGAGAGGTATCTGTGGAGGGCGATGGCCAGACAAAGCTCCAGCCCCTCGCAGCGGTTCCAACCTCTGCCCTGTCCTAAGGGATGCCGTGCCTCCCCTCAGGCTGGGCTAGTGACTGAAGGCACAGGATCACCGAGCTGCTGCTGTCACCATACTGGCAGGGGTGGCGGACTTGGCTGGCCTCCTGGATGCGGAAGCACCAGCCTGTGGCACCGCTTACACTGCCGAACAAACACGTAGCGCACTCTGCACAGGAGGTTATTGGTCACAAATGAGGGAGTGCCCATCCACATCTTCGTTTTTCCAAAGGCCCCCTTCAGCTAACAGCCATGGCTAGGCTTGAGTTGCACCCATACCTGAGAATAAAGAAAAACATTCCTTCTAAAGGTCTGTTCAGGTTCCTCGTAGCAAAGGCTGGATCATCACAACCCACCAGGGGCACCGGTCCATGAGCTGCAGAGGGGTGGACGCCCCAGGACAGACATCCACAGGGCAGATGCCCCCAGGACATGTGCCCCCAGGATGGACATCCACAGGACTGACAGCCCCAGGACGGGCGCCCCCAGGATGGACATCCATAGGACTGACAGCCCCCAGGACGGGCGCCACAGCACTCAACTAACCAGGCGTGTGCAGGTGCAGAGAGACCAGCAGAGCGTTACCATGGGACAGCAGCGGCGGGCAGCACACAGCCGGCCGTGTTCTACGTGAATGAAGAGGGGCGGGAGACTGCTGCAGGATGGCAGTCTGCTTGAGAGGAAAACCCTTGTCACCTCTGAGGAAAGAAGAAAACATCAGAGCGTGCAACCTCGCTTACTGCGAATATTTTCTGGAGAGGAGGGCTGCATTCTGTGTTAAAAAAACAGACTTTATTTTCCGGAGAAGTTTTAGGATTATAGAAGATTGAACAGAAAGTACAAAGAGATCCATTACCCCACCCTTCCCGACAGTTTCCTGTTACTAACATCTTGTATTAGTGTGGTACATTTGTTATAAGCGATGGGACAACACTGATACACTATAAGTTGATACTTTACATTAGGGTTCACTCTTGGTGGTGTACAGTCTATGGGTTTTGACAAATGCACAACGATATGTATCCACCATTGTAGTATCACAGAACAGTTTCACTGCCCTAAAAGTCCTCTGTGCTCCCCCTATTCATCCCTCCCTCTCCCCAACCTCTGTCAACCACTGATCTTTTTACTGTCTCTATAGTTTCACATTTCCCAAAATGTCATATTGTTGGCAACATACTCTGTGTAGCCTTTTCCAATTGGCTTCTTTCACTTAGTAATATACTTTTAAACTTTATAAAAGTAATAAAATAAAATAAAAGTAATATACTTAATATACTTAGTAATATACTTTTGAGCTTCCTCCATGTCTTTTTGTGGCTTTATAACTCATTTCATTTTATTGCTGAATTCCATTGCATGGATGAACCACAGCTTGTTTATCCATTCTCCTATGAAAGACATATTCCGGCTGCTTCCAGTTTTTGATAATTATGAATAAAGACACTATAAACATTTCTGTATAAGTTTTTGTGTGGACATAAGTTTTCAACTCATTTGGGTAAATACCAAAGGATGTGATTGCTGGATTATATGGTAAGAATACGTTTAGCTTTGCAAGAAACCACCAAATTGTCATCCAAAGTGGCTGCACCATTTTACATTCCTACCAGCAATGAATGAGAGTTCCCGTTGCTCCACATCCTCACCAGCATTTGGTGTTGTCAATTTTTCAGATTTTGGCCATTTTAATAGGTATGTAATGGTATCTCATTGTTGTTTCAATTTGCAATTCCCTAATGATATATGATATTGAGCATCTTTTCATATGTTTATTTGCCATCTGTATATCTTTTTGGGTGAGACGTCTGTTCAAATCTTCGGCTCACTCTTTAATTTGGTTTTCTTAATTGTTGAGTTTTAAGAGGTCTTTGTATAATTTGGATAAGAGTCCTTTATCAGATATGTCTTTTGCAAATATTTTCTCCCTGTCTGTAGCTTGTCTTTTCATTCTCTTAACAGTGTCTTTTGCAGAGCAGAAGTTTTTAATTTTAACAAAGTCCAACTTATCAGTTTTTTCTTTCATGGACTATGCCTTTGGTATTGTATCTAAAAAATCATCACTAAACCCAGGGTCATCTACATTTTCTCCTATGTTATCTTCTAGGAGTTTTATAGCTTTATGTTTTACATTTAGATCTATGATTTATTTTGAGTTAATTTTTGTGAAGGGTGTAAGGTCCATGTCTAGATTCATTTTTCTGCACTTGGATGTCCAGTTGTTTCAGCACCATTTGTTGAAAAGACCATCTTTGCTCCTCTGTCAAAGCTCAGTTGACTTTGGGCCAGCTCTGGTGGCCTAGGGGTTAAGTTCGGCATGCTCCACTTTAGTGGCCCGGGTTCGGTTCCCAGGTGCAGACCTACACCACTTGTCTGTCAGTGGCCATGCTATGGCGGTGGCTCACATACAAAAAAAAAAAAAGAAGAAGAAGAAGATTGGCAGCGGATGTCAGCTCAGGGCAAATCTTCCTCCGCAAAATA